ATATATATATATATATATATATATTCATTTATTTATATTTATATAGTTTAACAAAAAATATGAAGAAACCACATCGAAGATCCAGTAAAATTATTGACACAGTAATTTGTTCACAGTAGCAATTGTTCAGTCACTAATAACTAGTTTGATCAATTGAGAACTGCAATGACAAGAACCAAAAAACCAAAACTTCTGAACAAAACATCGCGTCTTACTCGACAATCGCTATCAGAAACTGGGTTATTAATCATCAAAATTGAAAAACATATACTTTATAGACATAATGTTTACTACTAGCGTATACTTAATATTAAAAAGGTCCGCATCACGCAATGATTCATTCAATGATTTATTCAACACATTTCCCTTCATCAAAAATGATATAATACGTTGTTGAGGAGATAAAATCGTGTACTCAGAGCGAAAGTAAATTTTCATCTCCCTTTCCTTTAATACGGGATTTGATTTGAACAATTTCTTGCACTCGATTACAATTATGGAATCGAATGCAGCGTGGAAGACATAATATTTGGTGTATTAATGTAATATTACAAATGATATAATAATCAATGTGATTTAAACTAAGCATCAATATTTTCTGAACGTTTATCACTAAAATTCTGAGATCTTTTAACGACAGTGGGAATCTATAAATTGACTGTAAGTACTGTATTACGATCAAAGCCCATACACTACGAATTTAAAATGAGAAATGTATGCTGATAAGGGAAAAAAATGTCAATTTCCTCAAAATTTCAAGGTATCGACGAAAATAGAACAGAAAAGCACCAGTTGGCACAAAATTTCGCTGATATTATAGCATATAAACAAGACCTTTAAATGTTAAAAAAGCTTAATGAGTACGCTGACTTGGTGTTTTAACTTGTCTCTTGAAGAACTTTCACCACTAATGATTTTTTCTCAGAAATAAATTTATTAGTAAAACAAGCTACAATTTTACAATGCATAACCAGGACAATTTAGCTATTGCAACATCTTTAGCAAAGGATGTTAGAACAAGAATAATTCATAAGAAAAAAGTTAAATAATTTTTTCACCAACCACTTTCCCACTGAAGATAGATTACATATTTTTAGCACAACAGTTGTTACGATAATCAATGGAAAGAAAAACAATAAATACATCAGATATATAAAGTCATTTTTTAGAATCAGCAATAGTACTCACCTTCAAATCAGCTACCTAATCATTATATTTTTCTGGCTCAGAGTAAGCACCAAGACTTTTAAGAGAAGCAGATTCTTCGATTTTTTCGATCTGAAAAATCAATAACGGGAATGACTGGATGCGTACGGGAATAAGAGCACAAAACATTAAAATGGAAATGAAGAAAGCTATTCACGTCGGTTACCATAATCTCGTTCCACTTTCTTGTTGATTCCGAAACTAGCATGTTGCATCATCTCAAAAATAATGAATTAAATTGACAAGATAGCTAAACAAATATGCCGAACGGAACGTGTGCAACTCCTCGAGAAATTTTTTCACTGAACCCAAAATTGCGCGCCATTCATCGATGGATAACCTATAATCGATGGATAATCTATAACGCATCGCAATCTGAATCCACACCAGCTCTTTATTTTTCAGCGTGAGAAAAACTCTTTTTTCAACATAATGTTTTTCAGATGTCTTTTCATATCTCTTTTCTGCCCCTTTTTTACACTCTTTTTGTCATCTTTTCCATACTGTCACTGTTTTGCTATCATAATTTGTGGCTTTCCTTTTAATTCCTATTTTACAGGAACTACTATCGTCACACAACTTCTGTTTTCCATGCTGTACTTTCGTCACATAGTATAACTCGTAAACTTTTTAACGTAATCAAGTTATCTTCTCGAATTCCTAAAACTGTAGTGAATATTTTGCGTATGTTACCTAGTGCTTAATATTTAAAAAAAACACTTTCTGTGCATCTCTTGCCGATTGTTTTAATAAATTAGAAAATGGTAGCACGAAGTTACATGTTTCATGTAAAGCCTACAAAATCTATTCGGACTAAAATTGTTCTTTTCTTTAATTGAAGAAGTAGCAATGTACTATTATCGGGGGATCGAGTAGGGAGACTAGTTTATTGTTGAAAAAATTATGCTTGAAATAGCGTATGCTTGCACAGTAAGATAGTCAAGTCTTGCTTCGGAGTTTTGTCCTGAAAAATGCTGAAATAAATGTGCTTTTCGGAGATAAAATTATAAATAATAGGATGGCTGCGCATCCTGTCGCTGTAAGTCCATTTCCTTCGCCACCAGAATATGCTCGTCAGTATACAGATGCAAATGTTGCGAAGAAAAATGTGTTACCACCACCACCTGTACCAAACGAATTCACAGTATTCGGTGAAGAATACAATTTTGCTGAGGTTTGTCATATTTTCATGACTACCGAAGTGTTTCTGATATCGTGCATTTCTATGAAATAAATGTTTGTAAAAGTTGGCCTGACTTACTGGGATTTGTACCAGTATTTTTCAAAATTTTAGGATAGTTTGCTTGGTTCTTGAGGTTATTTAAGAGCTGTTAGTTAGTTGCAGCAGTTTGTTGGACATGCCGACACATTTACTGTAATTTATGGTGGTATCAAGAATTTGTAGGAAATGATCCGTTCGTTACAATCACAAAAAATGCAGCAGCTATTTTCAAGCAATGGAGATTGGAGAAGTGAGTTGAAAAAGTTGAATCGGAGCACAATTGCTGCATTTCTCGACCTTCTCGATATTCTTATAAGGTGTACTTCAGATTTTAAATTCATATCACCAATAAATCTTTGATTCATGGTGAAAGAGTCTTCACTATTTACATGAATGTTTTATTTTGCTTGTACTTTAGTTTTCTTTCACCATAAAAGTCAAATTTAAGTTATTACATTCGAAAAATACTGACTGATTTTTATCTCTTAAGAATGTTTGTTTTTTCTTGTTCAAATATGGGTGTTGTTGTTTGTAACTACCAAACGATAAAAGTAGTAGAAGAACTGACTAAGGTGTTTTCAGATAGTTTTGAAAGAAATGATAGGTAAAGGTAGTGCTTGCAGTTTACCATATCTCTGTTGCCTACAAGTAACCTGCTTTAGTTTATTGTAATGTTGAACGAAGTTTCATTTTCAGGTGTCCGAGTCATCCGGAACGTTTAGAGAAGATTAATAATTTACGCCTTCTTTTTATTAACATGCATCATTTGATTAATGAGTATCGACCAGTACAAGCGCGTGATGCTCTACAGATGATGATGAAGGCGTCACTTAAGACTATTGAGGTTTTGCATTGCTAATCGCATTAAATTTACAGTAGATTATAAAAAATTAGCTTTAAGTTCTCGTTTATGGCTTTTATTTTTTTCAGGAAGTCAATAGTCGTCTTCGTAGTTATTTAACGATAGGTGAGGAAGCTTTAAATCAGATTGTGGAGCACTTGCCTCAGATTGATTCTCCTTCTTCTTCTAAAAATGCTGAGGTATGGCTTAACGCATCTTATTTTGATTTATCCATTAGTAGGTATATTGTTGAAACCTTCGTTATAATATATTACTAGTCTTGCTTCAGAAATCAGTCTTATGTAAAATGTAAAGCTTTTATTCATTTTTTTGATACTTTCAGGAAATAGATAGAGACTTGGTTGAACAGCGAGATGAGAAAAATATTGGTAAGCGTAGCAATTATGATGAAGCCCGTAAAACTGCCATTTCCAAAAAAGAGGACTGGAAAAGAGATATATTGCTTTGTGAGTTATTGGATTCAGTGGATGATGATGATTTCGAACAGCGGTCATCACCTAACTCATCTAGAATTAAATTAGATTATTGATTTTTATGATTAGAAATATTTTTTTGGCCGAATTCCAAATCGTCAATATTGTCTATAGAAGTTCATGCAAATCTTATTTTGTACATTTAAGAACGTTACTGATAATGTAGTTGATTTATTTAATTGAAAAATTCACGTGATCGTTCGTTTATGTTGTTTGTGTAAAAAGTTTGTGGAGTGAATATTGGATTATAATCAGTGTAGTTGTTCAAAATTTTGTTCTGTTTAGTGATGAGAGGGGAAAGATTACGAAGGAGTTATTACTTGCCATTACGATTTGAATCCATTCAAATCTTGTTCATTCTTTTATGTCTGGTTTTTGATGATTGAATGATACATAAATTTCTTTGTACCTACAGTTTTTCAGTTTCGGTTTGGTAATATATGTTCAAGCAGCTCTCTATACCTGGTACATGTTAAAGGGATGTTCAGGTGCTGAGTGGGAAAACTGGATAAAAACATGGGTTACTAAAAAAGATGGATGAATTCTTTTGGATGCATTATAATAAATCTACTACTTATGCAGAACTTCAGGTTCTATTATGAATTGCAGAGATGTAGGAGGTAGTATTTCTAAAAAGGGCAAGAATGGTTTGCTAATGTGTGAATTGTCAGCTCTTGAGGGTTTTTGTTGAATAGATATTGACTAAGTTTTGTTTCTTTTTTGATTCTAAACTAAAAAGAATTTTAATTTGGTTGTGGAAAATCTGCTTGTGATTTCAGGATGCATGGAACTAATGGATTTTGGAATTCTTCATCGCGAAATTCTCGTCGTGCATTAAACTGTGTTGAATGTCATAAATCATTTCAAACTGCTCAAGAGTTGTACTTGCACGCTGAAGAATGTATCGTTCAAGCATTTGAAAATGAAGCTCTTAATACTTTTTCGGCTATCCCAATCCTTACCAAAGATCCAGTTCACATGGATGCACGGTTTTCCACAACAGTCGCTAAAGTAAGTTTGACTTTATGATTTCCACAAAAGTTGTATTTAAAAAAGCAGACTTAATTCAATTTAGTGAGATTGGGACAGTAAGTTTTTCAACCACGTTTCTTATTTTTTAGCATCATATTATAGTTGAATATATGTGAGTAAGAAAGGGAAGCCAAATTGAAGGAGTCAAGAAGTTATTTAAGAGAGATGTCCCACCGATTCTGGTGCCAGAAACAAATTTCCCATCAAGGTCGCAGAAATCTTCATTATCATTGCAGTTGAAAGAATTACAAAAAAATGTGGCAATGACAGCTCTTGTTTCGTCAGTTTCAAAGTATTTTGTGGTTGTGCTTCTGAAAATTTCTCAGTTCATAGATGACAAAGTGTGTTGTCTATGCTTTTCATTAATTTAATAATGTGTTCAATAGAACACGTTGTGTTATTGTTTAATTTCATTTCAATAATTCATTTAAAATAAGTGTAGGGATTCTTTCCAGATCTGGTAATCACCAATCTTTCATGCCAGAAGATGCAGAGCTGCTGGAAAATCGTAATGGATTGAAAATTTATGTAACGATTGAAAAACAGTGCAGAAAAAGTAGGAAGAAAACCGCTGATAAAAGTAAGGCTATATTTATGAAGTCATACATAAAATTGTGTTGATTTGTGGACAAGTAATGTGCTGTATTATGCAGTCTCATGCTGTTTTTAATGAATTTTTGAGCTATTTTTATCAAATCCTAATTTCTCCTTGTACCATATTTCCATGAATTTGAAATCATAGTTCAGGATTTGGCAGTTAATGAATTTTTAGGTTTGGATGCTGTAAATATATTACGTTCAAATAAAAGTGCTGAAGAAACAAATGCTAATTATGCTGGCCGTTCCCGGTCTAAAATTGCATGTCCAACTTGTGGTTTGGTGCTCTACAAGCATAATTTCAGTACGCATTATAGAATACATACTGGCGAATTACCTTTTCCTTGTTCATTCTGCTTAAAACGGTTTCGAACTTCATCGGCTCTGAAAGTCCATACTAGGTATCTTTGACAGTCTATACCAGTAAAAACTATATGTTGTGGAGTTTTTGAGTAATTTAGTGAAAAAGCTTGTTCTGGATGATGAGTATAGAAAAGATGGCCCAAAATTTGTTACCGAATTTCAGAGCTCACACTGGTGAAAAACCATATTCATGTTTGCAGTGCCCTTACAGTTGTATCACAAAGCGAAATCTTGATCGCCATGTTATAAATAATCATATGAAAGAAGGAGAACGACGGGGTGCATTTATGTTATATTTTGAATAATTTTGTAAGCAATAGCTAATATATTTTTTGTGATAGCTCATAATGTCTCAATGAATTATCACTAAATAACCTAGAAATTTGAAACAGTAATTTGTAGAAATTGAACAATTGCTAGTATTTTTGAGTGGCAAATTAAAATCACTTTTCTCAAGGCCCGCGAGAACGAAAATCGCGATATAGAATAAATGAAACTGAACCTGTGGTTGACGATGTACTAATGGATCCTGCTCAAATTTGTAGTGCTGAAAGAATTGATCACCCTTATGTTCTTCCTTCGCAGGAATCTAGATATTTTGATTTGGTAAGCATAAGCGATAGACTTGACTGGATTAGTGTCAATCATAGCAGTTATTGAAGTAAATATGGCTTTTATAGATATTGATATTGTTTCAGGTATTTAATGTCAGAAATGAAGAAGTATATGACGATATTCAAAATAGTCAGTCGTCATCTTACGTCCCGTTTTCTCTTTGTTCATAACTAGTTGGTTCAAATGACTTTATAATTTATTTTTCTGTAAGAAAAACGGTGTTGAAATTTTATTTATTTCAATAGTATGTTGAAAACTTTTGTTCCAGTTTTTTATTTCTACTAGATCAATGGAATTGAAGATATGAAGTCAATAGGGCCTTATTGTTTTTATATGCTAACTTAGTCAACTGGTTGTTCGAAATTCTATGTGTTGGGGAGCATTTTTATAAGGATAAAATCGGCGTCTTCAGTTGCTAACAAAATAGTTTTGATCAATAAAATTTGTATTATTTACAGTGTATCTAATGTAGTGATAGCAAATTTTGCTGCTTGTGTCCTTTGTAGTGATCTCAATTTTTTTTTCTGCTTATGTGTCCGGATAAATACTTACTTTCTCATGTTATTAATTAAGCTTATGAAGATAAAAATACATTCAAGGATTATTTTGTGCATGTAGCGAAATTTATTATCATATAACTATCCAACCTATTATTTGAAAGAATTTAAGTACAGCAGCACTGTGTGATGGATGACAAAGCAGTGGATGATAATTTGCAACGATTACTTCAAGCATCACGAATTCGTACTTTGATGCGTGCATTGTCTCCTTCCATAGCAAGGGCAGCCGTGGAATATCAAAGTGATCCAACAAGATTAAATTCTTTACTAGATGTCTTGCAACCGTAAGTTGAAGGTTTTCTTCGTAATCATTTTCTAAGAGGTGTATAAAAGTGGTTTATTTTTTCAGCTGAAAGACCAGTCTTAAATTGGGGAGGGGAGTTTTCTTGACTTATTCAAAGCTGGTTAGTTAGTTTTTTAGCTTCTTGCAGGGTTTGCCAATGTTTGGGAAATATTGTATTGGAAGCATTATCATTAGCAGATAACGGTAACGTCTGCATTCTTAGAGATGCTATCAGTGGCCGAAGCGTATATGAGGTACGTTGAGAGCATTTAAGGAAAGGAAAGAACATAACAAAAGTAGAGAAAGATTGTTACTGTCATGATTTTATAGACATGATGCTTCTCATTATGACACGCCTTGTCTTTATTTACTCAGAAGTGATGATGCTAAAATAATTGAGTTTTGTTTAATTTCTCCAAAGAATTTTGATATGCAATGTATTTGGCAATGTTAAGGTTTCCGGGACGAATTCCCAGTCTGTCTATACTTGTCTTCCAGCGGTCAATTATTGTCAGTGTTCATACTTCAGTCATGGAGGTGAAATAATATTTAATTAATTAAATTAATTTGTCGGTGCTACAAATCGTATTTTATTTTGAAATATGTGAAAGATAAAAAGTATGTGTAATATTATACAGAAGTTACTTTTTTTGCTACAGTAATTATAATAATGATTCAGAATGGCATTCAAAATTTTATAATGTTTTTCTTTGCTGAATAAAAAATTTTTTAAAAACTTCACTCGTCCTTTCTTTATTTAAATGTCGTTTTTTTCATTTTTCCATCTATTTTGTTTTTTTTTATTATCGAAATTATCAAATACATTGAATTTCTGCTACTGAAAGACTGAAATGTGAGTTAGCTGCTATTAGTTTAATGTGATATTATTTTGTAACGTACCAAATAATCAGTTATTCGATCGTGTCATTTTACTGTTTTCACAGCAAAACGATATTTTCATAGATGTTTTGAAAAGTAAATTTTGTTGTTTCAATACAATAATATTTTTTCTGTATTCTTAAAATTTGTAATTTTCAGTTATCAGGCGACAGTGTGCATTTACGGTAAGTTCTTGCCTTTATTTGTTTATAAATATGCAAGTTAAATACCTCTATTTTTGTCATGATAATGTGACTAATATATATTAGTATAAAAAGTAAGGTAGGGTGAATCTAAGTCAATCCCATTATTGTGCAAACAAATTTTTATTGCTCGCCATTGTCTTGCATTGTGGTGTGAAAAATGTTGAAGTTACTTGTCATCATGTCTCGCATCGTTTTTATTTTCGATGTTTAATAAAAGTTTGATTTTGCAACATCATAAATTATTCTTATTTTGCTTGCCTTCTTCTGCTATCTTTTTTATGTTGATAATTCTTGTTTACTTTATCTCTGCATCATTTTGAAGTTGAAAATTATGACTATTTTAGTCAATATCGGACTTAACCAATACAGAGTAAGTGATTGGCATGATTATTTGTGTAATAAATTTTAGAACATTGCATGTGAAATAGTCAAATAGTTGCTGCCATAACCATCTATTTTGGTAAGTGAACTTTTCATTTTCCTTTTTTTTCCGTAGTACATAAACTATTCAAAGTAAATAAATTGTGAAGATTTTACAACAAGTTTTTGAATATTATTAATCGAACTTTCTTAGTCTTCTAAACATTTTTTTGAAATATGGAGTGGTTTTAGCTCATCCTTTTTTCACAATTTGTTTCTTCTTACGATTCATTTTTTTAACTAGTAAATCTGGTAGCTTTTTTATTCCTTCATGTTCATAAATTGAATATAGGTATGCGTGCTTTATTTGTGGCCGAGAAAAATGATGCTGCTAAGGGCATAGCTGCAATTTTGTCGCGTGGTACATCAACGCGACGTGATAGTCGGAGTCGTTTTAACAAAATTTATCAATTCGTCGCAAATATAGGTCGTAAATCTCTTTAAACCGATTTTTTTTTCGCAGCATCAATCGTGTTGGTTGTGAGATTATTTATTGCGATAAGAGAGAAGTAGATTTAATCAAATCTACTTCGTCTATTATCCTATAGACTTCTTTTTTAATCCATAAAATCGGTCTAATTATGATTTCCTTACCAGTAAGAACAAAAAACATATTCTTTTTACATAATACAGCAATTGAACAGAGTAAATGAATTAGTTGTGAGAAATTTTTATCACAGATTTTTAAGGCATTTAGATCTCTTTTAATTGATTGCAAATAGTGACAAGCAAAGGTATTTAGAAAATAACAATTGTTATGTCGCGATGACAAGTGTTTCGGGCCATTTGCTTCAGCACGATTTTCCACCATCATTCAAAAATTGGACTGAAACTCCTTTTAAAGTGCTGTTTGATGCACCGATTCAGAAAAATGTTATTCCGGGAATGGAGGGTGTCAGGACCACTTTAATTGAAGAAGTTCGACATTGCGATGTAAGTTTTAAGTACGAATTATATTAAGTGTCGTATTATTGGTATTATTCAGCATCGTTTGTTTAATCAAAAATGCTAGTTGAAGAAGGTGGTCATTCCATAATTTATTTAATTTCACTTTTTCCTAACAAGATTTCTTTCCATTGTAGTTACTTGTTATTTGGACTGATTGTGATCGAGAAGGTGAAGCTATAGGAGCTGAAGTGGTTAGCGTTTGTACGCAGGTCAAACGTGATTTGGATGTTTATCGAGCTCGGTTTTCCGAAATTACAGCTGCAGCTGTTAATCGAGCATTAAATAATTTAGTTAGATTAGATTATCGTTTGGTGGATGCAGTTGAATGTCGGTGTGTGACTTGTTTAAGCTCTTTTCTAACATCAAAATTTTCCCTTTAACGGGGAAAGCGAATTGTTTTCAACAATTATTGTCTTATACTTTTCTGCATCGAATTTTTTTAGTTATCTTTCAGTTCAGAACTAGATTTGCGAATTGGTGCCGCTTTTACAAGGTTGCAAACACTTCACTTAAGGTTTGCGCATTATTTTGCTGTAAATTAAGATTCCAGATGACTGCAAATTTCTTGTTTTGAGATGCTTTTGTTCTGAGGTGCCACAATCAGAGGTTTTTAGGAATAACTTTGCTAATATATTCCGAGATAAAAATATCATCAGTTATGGTTCATGTCAGTTTCCAACTTTGGGATTTATTGTGGAACGTTATCAAGCCATAAAAGAATTCATTCCGGAAAAATTCTGGAAGCTTTCTATGAATCATAAAAGGAACGATGTTTTAGTTGAATTTTTTTGGAATCGTCAGCGACTTTTCGATCGTGATGTTGTAGAAGTAAGAATCTGTTGTTATTGATATAAAAGTTGAAAGTATAGTAAAATCACAACAAAATTCGACTTTCCATGTTAGAATTGCATTTTAGGGAACACTTAAATATAATTAGTTATATTGCTCAGAATATGATGTATCATCATCTTTGAAAGATTATAAACTTTTGAGATACTATTGGAAGATTGTGAGGAAACAGGAGAAGCTCGTGTTTTGTCTGTGGTAAAGAAACCGAAAAGTAAATGGAGACCAGTTCCCCTTGACACTGTAGAATTGGAAAAGCTGGCTGTCAGAAAGTTAAAGCTCAGTGCCAAGGAAGCAATGGTGACTGCAGAAAAATTGTATAACAAAGGTATTTTCTGTCTTTAGGAAATGATAGAGTCTTTTTAAATGTCACTTTTAGACGCAGTTCGAAGTAAAGGAACATTCGCATTTAAGTGCTAAAATAAACTTTTTTGGAGGTTTCATATCATATCCACGAACAGAAACAAACAAATTTCCAAAAGACATGAATTTGATGCTTTTTGTCGAGCAGCAAACGGTTAGCGCAGAATGGGGGGATTTCTCGCAGAAGGTTATTTTTGTTGTTTCATGTTTTTCGAAATTAAAGGACGAGGAATTAGTTTTTAATGCTTTGATTATGCATGTTAGTATTCTCTGCTTGCAGGTAATGGAATTAAAACTGATGAAAAATGACTTTGAATCATATAATTAAAAAATGTAGTAAATTTCAACAAAATAACTTAGAAACTTCATTTTAATCTTTTTGATTTGTCAATTTTTTTCCCATGTTATTTTATTAAAATTCAGAAATTGAAAAAAATAATTTTTTTTAGATCGCTGCTCGTGGACCAGATCCTAGAAATGGTTCAAAATCAGATGAAGCGCATCCACCAATTCATCCATTAAAATTTGCCACACCTAATGAGTTGATTGGATTAGAATGGTCATTGTACGAGTTTATCGTTCGGCACTTTCTTGCGTGTATTTCTTTTGATGCAAAAGGACAAGAAACCAAAGTTCAAGCAAGTTTATTGCTTGGTTGTCTATGTTTCATGTGATTCATTACATTTTTTATTTTTTATTTGAATTCAGGTGCGTTTGGGAAATGAGAATTTTACTGCATCAGGTCTTGTGGTTGAAGATTATGGATATCTAGCTGTTTATAAATACGAGACTTGGAGTGACAAAGTTTTACCTCCTTATTATGAAAACGAAATAATAACTGATTTTGAGCTACGGATGACTGAGGGACAAACTCAGCCACCTTTGCTGCTCAATGAAGGTGTTTGTTGTACTCATTTTTGATGCAATTTTATTTTAGGGTTAAATTCATTGTGAAATTTGTAACGAAGTTCGTGGTATTGACGATTTATGAATATAGATCATGTGAAGAAAAGTTGTGAAACAAGTATTTTTTGCTTAAGAAAAGCAAAGACACTTATTTTTACAGCTGATTTAATTGCACTGATGGATAAATACGGTATTGGAACAGATGCAACGCATGCAGAACATATCGAGACCATTAAAACACGTCAATACGCTGCTCTGAATGATGACGGGCGATTTATTCCTGGTTATATTGGATTGGCATTAGTTGATGGCTATGATCAAATGGGTTATGCAATGAGTAAACCTCATATGCGGGCAGATCTTGAATCAAAACTGAAACTTATATGCCTAGGGCAAAAGTTCATTTTATGTTTTATTTAGAATTTTTTAGCTTCTTTTTTCTTCTTTTTGAAGCATAGTTGTTAATTATTCATATTGTATTCCTAATATTTCATTTTTGCAAATTCGAAAGAATTATGGTCAGTTACATAAATTTTTAGCAACAAAAAAGATGTTCTAAGGGAACAGATAACTAAATATCGAGCAATTTTTGAGCAAGCAGAAGTGAAAATTCAGATGTTATCAAATGCATTACGCAAGTACTTAAATCAGTGTCGGAATGTTCTATCAGCAGATAACAAGCTAGGAAGTATTGTGCAAGTACAAACTAAATGGGCAAGAACGAGTAGTAATTCAGTTGTGCCAAGAAATAGTGCACCGACAAGGCGTGGTAGAAGTGGTAGGTCGGAAAATCGTGACGCTAATCTAACATCTACGGTAATTAGCAATAGTGAGCAAGTGGCAACAACAAATACGAGTGATATTGAGCTTCTTTCAAGTATGCTTTCACTGTGTTTTGTATGACATTTGTTTTCTCCTTTTTACTATTTATAAATATTTCATTTATGTAATAGTCAGCTTCGGAGTGTAATTATGTCGACATTTTGTACTAGCAATTTTGCTCAATTTCTTCATCATTTTATCTTTATTTAAGTTTTAAGAAGCCAAAAATTAAAAACCTGGAATATTTGTAGTCTTTTTTCCAAGTGATTTTAATGACTACTGCTAAGGAAATTGTTTAATATTTTGTAAGCTTAAAATTAGTATTCACAGGGCTATATTTAAATATTCATTCAGCACTTTCAATATTGCATTCGAATGCACGAAGTCGAGGGAGAACAACGAATACTACTACTAATAGTGATGCTGATAGAGGTGAAAATCAAAATCCTGCCGGACAAGGACGGCAGTGTCGCTGTAAGAAAGCAGCGAAACGCCTGATCGTTAAAAAAGAGGTCCTTTTTTCAATTTCCGTTCACGAAAATAAAAGTATCAAAAGAGTTTTATGAAAGTTTGTTATATTGGACTGTGATTGCTGGAGATGAGAATTGTCAAATTAATTAGAAAAAGATTCATCATTTGTATAAATCTAGCCACATGAGTCCTCATTCAAGTGAATCAAACTTTTTGTTAAAAATTCTTCTTTAATCAAATTAACCACTAACTGAAAATTTTTTCAAGAATTTGCCACTGAATTTTAGTTTGGTTATCGTTATTTTGATCAAGTATTGCTCATGTTTGTAGTATTTCTAATACCAATATGTGATGTTTAATTCAGATCCTCAAGAAATTTAACAGATTCTAATAAATATTCCAGGGTCCAAATCATGGACGGGCTTTCTGGACTTGTTCAAAAGATAGAAACGATCCCAGCAAATGCAAATTCTTCGAGTGGGAAGGATCTAGAAACCACGAAGCAGCATAATAGTATGATGGCCTGTATACTTTTTTATACATTAGTTTAAGATGTGACTTTTATGCTTACATATTTTTGTCACTGTTGTCTTGATTTTTGTCACTTGTGTGTAAATTTATGTATTTATTGTATTTCTCGTTACATGTGATCTTTATTTCGAATACGAAAGGCATGCTTTCTGGCACTTTTCATATAGTTCTTTCTAATAATATGGATACAAAACATATTACAATTGCTTAAAAAAACATTGTTTCAAGTAACGATGTTCTTGCATTTAACACAATGGGAAGTAATATTCAGATAGAATGTTCCCTGAGTCGCCATATATTTAATGGTTATATTGGAGCTATATAAAAGATTGTAATGTCATTCAACCATTAGTAACCTGGGAAATTTTTCAAAATATAGAGGTTTTGATTAACTAAACTGTCTAATTTTTCATTTTGTTCTGTATTTCAGTGTCCGCATGTGCTAGCAATATGGTTCGCTGAGCTGTTTGGTAAAATAAGTACAAGAAGTGTTCGATCTCATACAATTTCGCTGGCTATTAAACATTTGTTTGCGCATATTTCATGATCTTATCAATTTCAATGATCTCCAGAACAGCTACTTCAAATCAGGCTATTTAGTGCTTTGGGCCAAAAATGAAGTTGGGAATACGTAGTATACTGTTTCGATTTTCAAGGGGAATGAACTTCTGGTCTATTCCGGGTTAAAAGTGACTCTCAAATAAAGAACTCTGTATAAATTTATGAGGATTACATAACAAAAGCCTACATTTCTTCAAAGATATATTTCAAATATAATAGAATCTTCAAATGCGAATTTTCCATTTACCCATGTTCTGTAAGACTTTCCCGGTACAGAGATCAGTAGCTTCTTTCATTTATTTGATTGAATCATGCTTTACATGTTTTTCTAAAAATAAAATATATTGAGCTAATAAATACTTTTTCACGTACTAGAAAAGGAATACCTATTTGTGTTGTTATATGTTGAATAGCAATTAAAATCAAATATCGGATTATACCGACAATAATGGTATTTTGAATGAATGGAAATAAATGACATTACTGATATCTGGCGAAAAAAATCCTTCAAAATTGGTACTGATCATTTTTTTAGAACTTTAAAAATATTTCATGATTCATTGTTTAATTTCTTTTAATTTCAAGACTTATATCCTATTAACATTTATTGTGCTGAATTAAAAGGACCAAAAGCATAAAAATTAAAGAGATAATTAGCATTAATGGAACGTGATCGTGAGTGTTTTATGCTTTCCACAACTTGTTAGCGTAATTCATGATTGCATCATACAAGGTAAATGTAAGAGCAACATCAAGGCATACACGACACAAACGCGGCACGGTACCTTTGTACAATCTAAAATAAGTGTATTTAATCCTAAATCATACTGGGGTAGTTACTAATTCTGAACTCTAATACGCCATGTGGAAAACAATCTTATTTTCTATTATGTTTTTGCATTACATGAAATTGGTGCCCTGATTAGACATTACTAAAACAGACGAGGGTAATTTTTAACTTGAACAAACTAAAACGAGTTGTGAAGAGCTACCAAACTAGTATTGTTCAATTAAGAAATGTAGCTTGTTTTCCAATATTCTACGGACTAATGAATACTTGAAAAAAATCTGTAACCAGAGTCTAGGTTGACGAAAACTGGGACATACGCGAAAAATCCTTCGTTTTTCATTATTTGAAAAGCACAGTCAAACGTATTCCTGTACTTTCTCGCTTCCAACCCCTGCATTCGAGTTTTCACGACATCAATTGGTGTGTTACCATAAACAGAACATGCGCCCGCGAATGCACCAAAAGTAGCCGTAATAGGGAGACTAACGGTTTTTGAATTATCTCCCCCACGATACCTGTACATGGTTTTTTTACATGCTACCACAATTTGGTTTTTGATTCAATTCAGATTTCACCTTCTTTTCCATTTATCAGTAGTTAAAATAGCTTAAATTTGCAACCAAAATTAAGGCATTCGTACAAAGATCGGACTTATTAATGTCTAAAGAGATAATTTTACCAATCTTTCAAAGTTTCCATGACAAAAAATCTTATCGCTTGATTCGAACCTTGTTTAGCTATTGTGGCTGTCACACCCTGGTATAACCCCTATAAAACATGCAGAATTTGTAAAATGAATCAACCGAAAATCTCACAAAACCATAGTAAATAAAATGAAAGTAACGCCTCAAAGACATTCACTAACATGTATGCCTTCGGTTCGAATGATTGTTCGCAGACCTTCAAAAAAACCTTTAAATCGAGGTTGAGCCAGTTGTTGATCATGAATGAATTTTACTTTAATAGTTTCCATTGGTGTAACAGCAAATATCGCCTCAGAAATACCTGTAAAAATTTCGCTTTTCTGAAACCAGGAAAAAATTTATATATGATTCTGTTATCAACTAAGTAGTAAAGTCAAATATTTAATAAAGAAGTACAAATTAAAGGCATGAATCAAATTAAGACCTAGAGCACTATTCAAAAATATAATTAGAAAATTTTAGAATCTCTTGGCTATAGATAATGTACTTACCAGCACCTAAACCACAATACAACCTTCTTATTGGTGCTAAATTACCATCTGAATCAATAGCATAACTTTTTAATGTTTCGAATGTCCCAAATCTGAAGTCATACAAAGTACTTTAATATTCTTGAGATGAGCAATTGAATCAATGAAAACAGCTTAAATCAGGATTAAAATTTGTACAAAAGTCGAACTTACTAATGTAAATGTCTGAAGAAATCATTTTACATACTTGAGTAAAAAAATTAAACATATCTTAATGCCGACTTCGGGATGGAACCATATATCAGAATAGATAATCCTCGATATAATCCAAAAAATCCTTTCGTTTGTACAGTTTTCCTAACACAGTCTATAGGTCCCTAGAATTTTATTCAACAATAGTTTATCTAGACTGAAACTTTCTAAAAAATTCACTTTTACATTACTTATGATGTAATAATGCTAGTAAAACTCATAAAACATATAAAAATTACTGAATAAATGACACAACTTCGATCAATACCTACTTTATAAATTGGATGCGCTGAACGTTCGTCTAACTGTAACTGTGTTTTGACATATTCAGTGGGAAATGTGATACAAATTTCAATACCGCCAGTGATTCCACCAATTATAATACCTTTCACTGACTTATTCGCTGGAAGCAAAGGGCGGTAATTTCTTTTTTGTTCGTTTTTTGAGCTAAATATTAAGCAGTTACAAATGTTAACACTTAACTCAATAAGACCTAATTAAGAAATTGAACAAAGTCAGGAAAGTCATTACTTTTTTGTTGAGAAAATTTCTTATTCTAAATTAACAGAAATTTTTGACTAGTCATTCGTTTAGAAAATGAAACGCTTGAGAATCTTCTGAGGAAATACGGCAAAGTCTTTCGCAAATTACAAATGATGGAAGAAAATCGGCCATGAGACTCACCTGCTACTATTACTAATAACAGTCATCGTCGCATCCGTAATAAGAAGCTTCTGAGAACCTAAAAAGATTAAGCGAACTTCATCATTAATGAGTAATTAATTCATTTGTTGAAGAGAAATGAAAGCTATCTGTGAGAGACGAAAGCAAAAAATACTGCCACAAGCGATGAACAGTATCGCATTTCATTACACCAAAAGTGAGCTTATATGCACATATCAAACGAGCTGAATGCCATAGAATCATACAGGATGAAATTCACTGATGCAAATAATTATTAAATGAACAAGAGTGATTGCATCAAAAATTATTTGCTTATCGAAAACTGATCAACTGATTCTTTTTTATTAATCCAATTCTGCACTTCCCTTTTCTCAGAAAAACTGGACTTTGATTAAAGTATTCCGCACAAATGAAAATAAGATATAGTTCGTTATGTCAAAAGAAGACTAAAAGAGTTATCAGTGCACAAATAATTCATTCGGAGATGTTCATCACGACGATTACCAGGAAGCAACATCAGTAACACAAATGAAAACATAAAACAATCAGCACTGCTTCGTGCAAAGAAAACATACTTACAGAAATGTATGTGGACAACAGTATACTTCTCAAATGCTTAGCGAACAACTAGTATGCATGACGAATTATGTACCGTTAAAGTGTAACAAACTAAAGAGTAAAATTCCTGGAAGAATTTTCCAGACGAACGCTGAAACTCACTAAATAAGCCTTCCAAGGAATCTCGCCCAATACCCTGTCAGCTGTTCTAAATGAAATTCTTCAGAAGCAGCGGACCCAAAAATCTCTTTTCTATTCTCAACTCATTGTTTTCATAATTAATCACAGCAACACTCAAGCAATCTCAGATGCAGTGAGTGACTTTCCTTTCTGACCTGAGTATCACTGTTCTGCATAAATCATACAACTTTCTTCAAACGGACGTCATTACTCAGTGATAATCATTCATTTCTTTGCAAACAAAAATTAAAGTCAGTAAGGGAAATGATATTTGATGAAGAAAGAACGATCGAATTGATAACGGAATGACAACAAAACTGAAAGTCACTTGAAATGAATGCCAGAATTGGCACTCTCTCTTGAATGAAATTACTCGTTTAAATATTATTTAGACGAATTAACAACTGCTAATTGGCAATTAAAAATTAAATTTAAAAAATGTACAACACATTTCAATCAACGTGTAATGAAAACAAACAGAACAGTATATGAGAGAAATCAAAAAGTAATTGCGTCAACGAACTCAAATAAGCAATTTGAGCACCAAGCAAAGGAACGGTGCAGACATTACGGATAGTACGGATAGAAGTAAAGTAAAGGATTAATTGTAAAGATAACATACCGAAAAAGCAATGATATTATGATTGCGTAGCCAAAGCCAATCGCACAATCTTCTACAATTTATATTCAGATGTCATCTAAGTAGATGAATCCAAACTCAAGCAATCTTCACACTTACTCTATCTCCGACAAATCCGCCTTCACTTCGCCACGCACCTCCGTTCAATTATTTCTATTCTAAGTCTGTCTTCTACATACTGACACCCTAACATTTTCTTCCTTCTCTCTCTTTCCCTCTGCAGCACTGATTCTCTCTCACTCTGCAGAAAATAAATCTCTCGCATTATCCAAACAAGCGAAACGAGAATTGTCTGAAAGTTCAGAGGTCAAGTCTATGCCCAGTATTTACTTGCGAAAGTAAAATTCAAAACAAAAACAGCAGCGGTTTGAGTCTTCTTTTTTCTGTTCATAAATTGTCAAAGACAGAGAAATCGCAAAAGCCTCTGGAAATTGGTTCTGCTCGTTATCATAGAAGCATTTCTACTCACTGTAAGTACTACTGAAAGGTTTTTATTATTTCTTAATTAATATTGTTTATTCACTACTTTTGTGATTTAGAATGTTTATGCCCCCAGTAGTTATGAGCTATGCTGTATGGAATGAATTTCAAATTGGTAAAGTTCTAAGTCGATTAATTTTCTCATTTAAAACAGAAGCCACTGCCAAAAACTGCAGTCAATTTTTGAAAATTTAACAAATATTCTCTCGAGAAAAGAACTGTCATTGAAGAGATAATCAGTTAATGAATTACTAAACAAATTCACTGGATAAATCACAAAAATTTCAATTTCTACATTTTAAAACGATAACTTTTACATTTTTAGAACGCAATAAAAAGAAATGAATGGGTAGAAATATACTTACTCAAAGTGAACCAAATTACACCAAAAAAGATGTGCGAGAACCATGACTTCATGCTGTAAATGTGTGTATTATTTTTATGTGATATTCGATTTAAGATTTCGCTTTCATTTACTGAAACTTTTGCTGCATTTTTGTACACAATGCATTTATTTTATTTTGCGTAAATAATTAAGCCCAATTTTTAAGCTATATGAGTGTGTTAACTGAGTTAGGTGTATAGCTGAGTCGAACTACAAAGTTTCTTCATCATCACTTGCTTGTGAATGCAACGGTTTTTTGGTTTTTGTCTACCAACTATTTGAAACTTTAACACAAAATGTCTGCTTGCAAACATATTTGTATGCCAAAATCCTTGTCTAACAATATTTAACAGATTTATCTCGCCATGAAGTTGTCATTTTATTATATAAGTCTGTATTCTCATTGTGTAATCCTTTTTTAATAATTTAATTTAATATCCAACTCTTATAATTTACGTTTACGAGCATAACTAATAAAATAATTATTGAAACCTCCATATTTCTGATATATATATATATATATATATATATATATATATATAT